CAGGAGCAACGACTCAAATCTATGTGAGGTGGGGAAAAATTGTTGCGATGAGAACCCAACGTCGGGTTCTCTGTCCAACGAATAAATTTTATTTAAAGTAAATGACATTAAATTTGTTTGGCCTTTTTTTTTCCTCGCGAGTTGGGTTTCCGTACACTAAAAAATTTTAAATTAAAAAATTGTTATTTTTGAATTACCAAACGTCCAAACTCGCAAATAGAAAAAATTATTTTAAAACGTAAAGGGTTTTCAGACACTATTTTTTAATTTAGTAGCAACTACATTTCAAAATGCAATGGGTTTTGAACGTGTTTACGTTATTGAGGGAGGTGATTGCAGGAGCAACGGCTCAAATCAATGTGAGGTAAAATCTTCCAATGAGAACACAACGTTGGGTTCTCAATCCAATGAATAAATTTTATTTCAAGTAAATGACATTAAATTTGTTTGGTCTTTTTTTCTTTGTCCTTTTTTTTTTCTCCTCGCAAGTTGGATTTCTGTACACTAAAAAGTTTTAAATTAAAAAAAATGTTATTTTCAAATAACCGAACGTCCAAACTCGCAAATAGAAAAAAAATATTTTAAAACGTAAAGGGTTTTCAGACGTTATTTTTTAATTTAGTAGAACTATATTTCAAAATGAAATGGGTTTTGAACATGTTTACGTCATTGCGAGAGGTGATCACAGGAGCAACGACTCAAATCTATGTGAGATGAGGAGAAAAAATGTTGCGATGAGAAACTAATACACCATGAGATTCACCATCCCAACTCAAATAGCTTCTATGGGTAATATGATAATGACGAGTGCATTGCCAAATAGTAGCATTAAGAGGACACATGGTAAACGAGCTTATGGATAAGTTTCCTTCTCTTGACTGATACTTTCTGTGCAAGATTCAAGAATCAATACTTGTATTTTATTGAAACTTCGGCAGGTAGATTTTGCATATCTTCATTTGGTACTTGTTTGGTAGGAATTTTGATTATTGATTTTTTGACCGTTAGAAATAAAATGGATCCTATTTGTGAGAGAAGAATTCATAAATAACAGCTAAAAATAGTGAAATAACGCTCAGAAATTGATTTTAATTGGCTAAAACTTTTTATCAAACAAGCTCTTAATTGTCTGATTCTTTAGTTTCTGGTTCGTCCCCTCCCATGAATAAATAAGCTTAAAGGACAGGAGTGAGGTTATCTCATACCTTGCTGGCAGTCGCAGTGTGAGGGTTCGATTCCTGAAATATGGAATTGGACTCCTTGTAGGCGCAGTATACAGACAGCTCTTGTTTCCTGGCCTGCTGGGGCACATCCCGCGATTTACCTCCCTCACAAAGCTCTAGAGACAGGGCGGTGGAGGCCCTCAAGGTTAGGGTTCAACCTTTTTTTTTTTTTTTTTTTAAATAAGTTTAAAGGTGTTTTCAACGGTCATAAGCCATTATGATTTATGTTCAGCTATTTGTTGATTTTCTCACCAAACATGGCTCCAAAAACCCATGCAGATATTCAAGAGAAAATAATGGGTACCTGAATTATTAGACTCCATTTTAAATTCAAGTGGTAGGAAGGCGATGCCTTACCATCTCCTGTCTTGAACTTGTTTGCATATTTAACAAGAACAAGAATAGAAATGAAAAAATAATTCTAATAGTAGTATTTACGTTGCCTGGTTCACCTACTTAATTTAATAGTAGTGATCTTTTCACATCTTAATGTTTTGTTTTTATATTTATCATTCACTTGGACCCCAAAGAGTTGTGGATGTAAAAATTGATTTGGGGTTCCGCTAAAAATAATAATAATAATAATTAAAAAATTTTAAAATAATATAGCTCTTGTTTCGTGGGGATTATAATCAAAATTTTAGTTTCGATAAGAAAAAAAATGAAATATGTAGTGAAAAAATTATGAATTTTATGAAATGCATAATTAAAATTAATTATTGATTTTAATTTAAATTAAAATCTAGATTTTAATATATACTAAGATGGTGTTTGGGAGACATTTTTATGTAAAAATACATTTTTGATAGTAAATTGATGGGAAATGTGTCGTTGAAAAATAAGAAAATTTTTTTTATTTACGTTTAATATTATTTTAATAAAAAATGTGTGATTGAAAAGAAAAGAGAAAAAATGCATTTTAAAAAAATGGGTTCCAAACGAGACATAAATAGGGACATAATTACCACGTTGAACTCTATTTGTAGTAGGAGTGGGCGCGGTCCGATTTGGTCCTGTTCCATAGGAAATCGAACCGAACCGAATACCGATGGGAATTTTAGAAATGGAATGGTTCCATAGCCAATTGTGGAACTGAACCGCAACCGAACCGATCGGTTCCGATTCGGTCCAGTCCGGTTCTTTACATTGAAAATTTCAAAATAAAATGTTCACTAATAAAAACTCTTAAAATGCTACCAACGTGATACTTTTAACAAAATATAGAAGAACCGAACATATTATTCAAAGATTTATTAAGGTATACATTTACAAAGTGAAAATAAAATAAAAATCATGTAATCAAAGTGAAAACAAAATAAAAATTTCGCATCTTATAAATTAAATTATATATTGTAAATAAATTCATTTAGGTATAAATTTACCCAATATTCTAATTTGGCTTGAAAAACAATTAATCAAAAAATTATAAGAAGAGATAAGGAAAGAATCAGAGAGAAGAAGGAAAGTGCTGGAGTCTAAAATTAAGAAGGAACCCAATTATTTTTTATAAAAGTATTGGAGATTGAGACATATATTTTACAAAAAAAAAAAAAAAAAATCAAATGAGAACCATCTGGTTCCCACGGTTCTCATACTAGAACCGAGAACCGGATCGGAACCGATCAGTTCTTAAAAATTTGTCCAGAAATGAAATTGGTTTTTAAAAGATCCGGAACCAAACCGATCGGTTCTAAACGATTTCGATCCGATTCCACCGATTCTGGGAAAAAGTGCCAACTCCTAATTTGTAGCATATAATCCACGCCTCCAAACCCCGCTCCTTCCAAGAAACATCCCAATCTACTGTTGTTTGACCAAAAGACACGTGTCTCATCCCTATTGGATTGAAACAGAGGTCCCGCTGTACGATTGCTGTTATTAATATATACCCCAGTATTACGCCCAATGGGGCACACACTAATTCACTCTCCACAACAAACACTACCAAACGATCCAAACCCTACCCACTGCCCAATTTTTTAATCCCTAAATCTTCTCCAAAACTATGCATCTTCTCTTAATGGGCTTAATATTGTTATGTATTTCGTGATTTAAGAGGAATTGTATGATCGCCGGAAATGGCGTCCGCATGTGTAAACAATATCGGAATGTCGCCGGAGAAGACTTTCCTGGACTGTTCTCCGGCTAAGTATCCGTCGTATGGATGGTCGAACCCGAGAATCTCGTTCAGTCGTCAGATTCCCGATAAAGAAGCGTCAAAAGTCACCGGAGCTACACATTCAGCCGCATCGGAGAATGTAGCCCTGGAGAAGCCGGAAGAATCCGACCCAAATGTCTCGGGAAATGACTTCGTGGATTTTGAGTTCCGACTAGAGGATCCGGTCATCATGCTTCCAGCCGACGAGCTCTTCTCTGACGGAAAGCTTGTACCTTTACATGTCTCTACGATCCGACATTCAATGACGGCTGTACCAATTTCGTCTGAGGTTAAATTGCCCGACTCACCTAAACTTCGCCGGACAAATGAGAATTCCGTCACGGATCCGTACTTACTTTCACCAAAAGCTCCTAGGTGTTCGAGCCGCTGGAAGGAGCTCTTAGGGTTGAAAAGAATCTCTCAAAACAGCTGCGCAAAAAACGAGGAAAGCAAAACGACGCCGTCACTGTCATGCAAACATAACAAAAACGGTGCCAGAAGCTTGAAACACTTCCTTCAGCGAAGCTCAAAGTCATCATTGAACGCATCCATAGATTCATCTTTAAGCCTCCCACTGCTAAAGGATTCGGACTACGAATCTGTCTCGATTTCTTCTCGGCTCTCCCTTTCTTCTTCCTCTTCATCAGGCCACGAACATGATGATCTTCCAAGGCTTTCCCTCGATTACGATAAACCAGGTATGAGTCATCGTAAGTCCCGTATTCATTCCAGAGTCCGTGTTTTGAACGCTCCGGCGAGTAGAGTGGGACGGAGCACAATGCGGAGTGCCCCTGAAGCAACTGTACCAGTCCGTGGAGTCTCCGTCGACAGTCCTCGGATGAATTCCTCTGGAAAAATCGTTTTCCAAAGCTTGGAGAGAAGTTCAAGCAGTCCAAGTAGTTTCAACGGTGGGCCCAGATATAAATACAGAGGAATGGAGAGGTCATATTCAGCTAATGTCCGCGTCACTCCGGTTCTCAATGTACCAATTTGTTCACTTCGAGGGTCTTCGAAATCTGGAGTTTTTGGTTTTCCATTATTTTCTTCACAACAGAGAAAAGAAGGTGGTTGTAGCAGCAACAATGGAGGTGGAAACAAGGGACACGGTCACATCAAGAGCCGCACAGATCGAACTTGAGAGAGTAAATTTTGGCAATAGTTAAACCTCTTTTTTTGTCCACTCACTTGAATTTTAGGTTCTGTTATGCTTTTTTCAAATTCAGTCAGGCAATAGTGCATAACATTTTGAAGGTGGTTGGGTTCATTCAATTTGGTGCTGCTTCTGTGACAAAATTTAGTTCAAATCTTCTACTGCATGTACATAATTGAATCAGGGTTTTCCTTTAATTCTTGTTCATCTTTCCTTTTGATAATTCTGACTCCAATAATAGATTTTCCTTCCATTCTTGATTTCATTTCATTTCAATGTTTTTGTTCTTCGACAGTATTATTGAGCACGACGTGCATCGCTGATCATTTCATTATTATATTACATCAATTATTTGATCTCAGTCTCTCTTTCTATTTTTACTTATTCTGGATTTGATGAATTGATGACAAGACTAGAATAAATTTACAGAGGGTGCCAGCAAGCCATGTTTGTTTTTTTGTTTGTGCCAAATTAATATAGTGATGGGTACTGAAAATGTAAACCGTTGGTTTAGCCCAGTAGTCGGTCTAGGTAGCCCTCCATAAATCAGACTGCAGGAGCTACCATGTGTGATTGAGGCAGGGGGAGGTTATAACGGATGTGGGTCCTGGTTCATGGAATTAGATATTTATCATAAAAAACTAGTAAACTAGCATTTCCTCGTAGAGTCCAGTCCGTTAACTAGGAGAAAATCTACCGACGAGGTGCGCACCATGATAGCGGTTTGACTGCCCCATGGATGATTTTCTTGTTGATTAGGGTAAAATTGTACAATTAATTGATAACATTAGATATCATCTAAATTTTTTGTTTCTATTCAAGTATGTGAGCACGTGTAATGAGAAGTTAATGGAAATTTAGATGGTTGAGTAGTAGGGAATTGGGTGTGCTATTATAAATTTATAATATAACAAAAGTTGGAGGCTTTTGCTTTTTAAAGCTTCTAAATATTCAAGTGCTGTAGAACATTTGGGTTGTGATTGGTGGGGATTTGATCCTTGATAAAGGCAGCTCTTTTGAAATCCTTATCTTGACCGTCCAAGTAAATATTTTACTAAATTTAGTTTGTTTGCATTGAATGATGAGTTGTTTGAGCTGTGGTTTTACAGGCTTGATTGGTTCCCATCTTCTCGTCCGTTTTAGTGCAATTTCGGACTTTTTGGGTGATTGAGCAATCAATCTTGCTTTTCGCTGTAATTTTGTTTTTATAATTTTAATAATTTGAAAAATATTTGGGAATAGTTATAAATTTGTCGACTTTCTTTAAATAAATACAATAAATATAAGAGCACATGGTTGTTCTGAAATCCTTCATGCAGCCATAAATAAATTTATAATTCGTCTTATACACTGGATTTGTCCTGTCCTCTCACATATACTTTGTAATCTTATACCCAAAAATGAAGGGGGAATTTGCAATGAAATCTCCGAACCTTTTATAAATTTGCAATGTCGCGCCAAACCTCTAAATCGTGGTAGCTACGTCCCAAACCTGTCAATTCAAGAATCTATTAGTATTTAGTTGACTAAAAGTTAAACGCCTGCTCTTCCGACTAATTTTTAAAATGATAAAATGATTTTTTAACATTTAACTAATTTAAACAAAGAAAAATTGCATTGGAGGTTTTAAATCTTTATAAAATTTACAATGCGGTAGAAAAATCTTTAAATTGTAGCAGCTATGTCACGACCCTTTGAATAAATGTGCATTTGACAAGACACTTAGTCCCTCTTTGATAAAAAAATTTAATCAAGATATTAATCTAATTTAAAGATAATAATTAATTTTGACCACACATTTCATTAAATCTACAACTTGTTAACTACACATTTCATCATTTTATATCAAAATTCATTGAAAATCTGAATTTAATAAAAACTAAATACGGACTTAATGCTTTTCATCCAAAAATCCATTCGTTGACAAAACGTCAAACATGTGACCTCCAAAAGAATCAAAGCCACGCACCATAAAAAAAACCACCCCATCTAACCCCCAGGCCCCCATTAAACGACCACTTCTCTTATATTGCGCAGTCACATCCTTCTAATTATCTTTAAAGTACTATGTCATTGGACTTATTCCAGCCTTCATCCGAATCGTAAACTCACATCCATCAAAAACTCATTATCGAATATATTTTCCTTCTAAGAGAAACCTTGAAATTAGTTGAATATTAACAATCATCGTCAAATGCTAAGTTAATTGGATTTTGTCATTTATAACTAAATAGTGTTGGGTAAGGGTAGGGTGGGGAGGAGTGAGGTGTGGTAGATTGGGATAGATGGTTTTTTAATTGCTTTAACTAATTAAATTTGAAAAGATCAATTTTTTTTTTCTTTTCAAAATTGATTAAATTAAGACAAACGTTTGAGTTCTGGTCAATTAACAAATTTTTGGATGGAAACCATTAAATGTCCTTTCAGTGTACACTTATTAAAAAATTATAGAAGTAGCAGTCACAATTTAAAGATATAGAACCGCATTGTTCATTTTTTCAAAGATTTGAGACCTCTTATGCAAATTTCCCGGAAACAAATAAAATATTAGAATGAATAATAATATTGAAAATGTGAGTGGTACTAGAATCAATACATACATGATGATGAGTAAAAAAGGTGCCCGTGAACTGTGGTTTCACTGCTCAGATTCCCAATTACCCAATAGGCAATAGCTTATCGTGCTTCCAGGTATACATGCATGTGACCATATACATGCACATTCCATGGTGTACATTTTTATGTACATTATATTGTATTTCAAAAAGTGTTGGGCAAGATTTTCTTTTTTCCCCCCTAAATTGTTCGATCATATATCGTCATGTGAATCAATTAAAAAAATGATGTGAACAATAATGTGCATGTAGTATTATTGATTGATTTATATTATATTTTGGGAGTAGGGTGGTTAAAGGGGTTGTGGCAGGCTAGGATGACAAGGAAACGTTCCTGTCTTAATCCATCATCCACATCATAAACTTCATTTGGTTCAATAATGTACAATTTTTTAATATTGGTCTAATGCTCTTCAATCTAGTTTTCCACTATCGAGTTGATAATATATAATAGAGACATAAATCACTTTAAATTTGAGAACATGAATCCAATCAAAAAGCAAAATCTAATTGTATGTAGCGACAAGGATAGCGAAAGGAGTAGAATAAAGTGAAAAATATAATAGCATCTGAACCTATGCAGGCTATGAGACCTTAAGTAGTCTTTCTTTTCATGGGTAGTCTGTATCTCAAAGAAAAGTGCGATAGTGGATGACTGAGCCACTTAACATGCCGGAATTTTGATGGGTGTACATGTCAATTCTATAGGGGTTTTACAGATTCCTCATATGAAGTGGATCTTACCTCATTAAGAAATTACCTCCAAAATTCCCACTCCCGAATGTTTGTGTGTATTTGGTAGGGTAGAACCCCTTCATGGTAACCCAGCACGGTTCTAACACACCTAGCCCTTTGCTTCTTCTATGAAAAATAGAAAATCAAATATTTTCAGAGTCATATTTCTCACAATTTATATTTTATTATATGTTTTGTTCATATCTATATTTCTCATATATTACCGCACTTGTCATCTTGAATTCATGATACAAAGAATTCATCAGCATGCGAGCTATCAACATTAATTTTTTTTCTAACATTTCGTCGAACTTTCAAAGATTTTAAAATTTTGGACTGTATACATGTAAAATTGAGCGAAAAGACAATTTCCATCATATATAATTGTATCTATATATATATATATTCGGACGAGATGATAATGTTCGGGTTTGGCAGCACATACTGAAATAAAGGGGTTAAAGCTGCAGTATTTGTCTTGTCTGCAGTGTAATATCCCCCGTACTGTATCTATTTCTATTTTGCTATCGCTGTCGCCTTCGCCTGCCCAAAAAAAAAAGAAAAAATTGATTTGAAGGTTTGTTGTTAAGGGGGGAGTGATGAGTACAAAATGAAATGGCATGTGATAATATTCACATCAATCAGAGCATTGGAATTAACCCAAAGGACGAAATAGTACTGCATCCATTCATTCAACTCAGCACAGCATCTAACAAAAAAAGCCCAACCATATTTATCGTTGCACTCAACTTTTTTTTTTTTTTTTTAATATATCAAACGTAATTGAACATTTAGCCCCAATTTGCTGGCCATTATTCATAAAAAAATATTTTAAATAGTATTTTTTTAAAATAATGTGTAACTAAAAAGTAAGAAAAAAATTGAAGATTTGTGTGCAGCATAATTTCTTTTGTGAATATGTGGTTGAAAATAAGTATACAGAAAAAATAGTTTAAAAATAATGGTTATCAAATGGTGGCTTAGTTTAATTGATAAAGACTTAAATTAAAATCAATAATTAATTTAAGTACACATTTAAAGAGATTCACGATCTTTACTAATTTTTAACTCATATATTTTACATTTTTTTTTTATCAAAATCTATTTTTTTTTTTTTTTAGCAAACTCAATGACTTAGACCCTGTTTGGTAGAAAATTAATTTTTTTAATAGAATTTGATAAAAGTTGATGGAATGTGTATAGTTAAAATTAAGTTGTTTTTTGGTGTGAAATTTAATCTTGACTAAAAATTAAGTTAAGGTCAACCATTAATTTTAACGACACATTTCATGAATCCTATGATTTTTCAACCCATGCATCCATAAACTTTTATCGAAATTTACTAAAAGTTAATTTTTAACCATACCAAACAGAGACTAATAAATGTCAACTTTGACCTAGATTTGAATCAAATTTTTTAAACGTAGCTAATATATTTCTCCTTAGAAAATGGTTTGGCAACGGGAACTAACTCCTTGGCTGGAAAACAATCCTCATACCTTGATCGTGATTTATTGGCAATAAATTCCTTTACTTGCATTTTTGTGTTTAATATTGAGTAAGTATTAGCATTTCTGTCAATGAAATTATTCTGGTGGCTGAAAACTGCTAAATTAAATCATTAAGTGGAAATTACCAAAATAATCAGCTTTTACCTTTTCATTGACAAAAATGTCACTTTTTAAAACTCATTGTAAAATTATCAAATTTGGTCATTTTCACCCCTCTTACTAATTTCAATCCCTTCTATGTCCTTGATCAAATACAACATAACTAGACTCCAAATTGTACAAAATCTGTGAAAAGTCAGGGTACTTGGAAATTGGGAAAAAAAAAAAGAAAGAAACAAAATCGATGAAGGTGAAACGATCAAACCAAAGAAAGAAGAAGAAACCAGTGTTGAAACACATTTCTTTCTCTCACACATTCCCCTCTCTCACTGGATCTTCCCCTCTCTAGTACTTTCCCTTCTTTCATCGTCGACGAAGACCGAAAGCACTGCCCCGTGTCGTACGAACAGGCGAAAGGCGAGCCTCACCTCTGGCATTCGAATCGTCCAACGCCTAGCCATCGAGAAAGTCCTCAATCACTTCACCGTCGACGAAAACCGTCACTAATTTGTTCAGGTAGGTGTTTTCTTCATTTTTTGCATTTTTTTTTGAAGAAGAGGAAATTTTTGTACGTTCTTTGTACAGTGTCGACCAGCGAAGCCACATTTGGGCAAGGGTGGTCAGTGACCACACAAATTTTGAGATTTTAAATTAAATTAAATTAAATTAAATTAATTTAATTTAATTTAATTTTAGTTATTTTTTATTTTTATTTTTTGCAACCAGTAAGGCAACTTATGATGCCAACTTGTTGCATTAGTTGAGCTCAGTATTTATTTCGATGGCATAAAATAGTCACAATGATGGTCCATGGCTGCGAGTTAAGTCAGTTGACCCAATTGATTGAACTATTGGACAATTTGACTTAGTGGTAGTCTGAAAAGTGATTATAACAACTCTGGCAATTGAAATGTCATTTGCATAGGCAACATTTTTCTTGCTAACGATATCAAAGGATCTGTTTATGCTTTTACTTGAGGGTTGAGTTACCTTGAAGTTTCAATTAAAATCTTTATTTCTGGTTGCTCTTAGAGCAGGTTGATTGTGGAATGTTAGGAGTTAGTTGATATGTTTTAGCGTGTTAAAATAAGAATTCGTTAATAGAAAAAAGATGAGTACAAGAGGGGGTGAGGTTTTACCAACTCTATGTTATCAGCATGTTGAAATATGGATCTGTATTTTGAAATTGGAAATTAATATGGACACAAGTATAAGGTTGCATTAGAGTTATAGTTATGGGGAATTCATTTAAAAACTTGTCTAACTTTTTTAAGAATTATTATATTATTGTGTGAGGATTAGGGAACCTTCTTCCATAGGAATTCAAGGTAATCCACCTTCCAAAATAGTGGGAGAAAATATTAAGATTATCAGTGGGATCAATGAAAATGAAAAACGTTCAATGTGAGTGCCCAATATTATGCTGACATTCAACTGAGCAATAGATATGCTACTGATTATGACATCCACAGTCTGTAGATTTTCTAATGTATCATCTTGTTCAATTGATTTTACTACATAATAGCACAAGTAATCCACGAGAAAGTGGGATAAAATAAATTAGGGAAGTTAGATTTATTCGTTTTTTCCTTATTCTAATTTGAAGTGAAATAGATTTGTTCGCTTTTTCCTTTTTCTAATTTGAAATGGAACTTTAAGAAGGAAATAATGTATTCATAACATCCACCTCCTTGAGGTTTTGTTCAATATACAAGAAGACCCTTTGTGGCTCTACCTATTACTATTCACTCAAATTGACCTCTATATAACAAATGTCCCTTATGTTAACAAATGCTAGTATGATGTCATCTAGGAATGTTAGCACAAAATAGGCTTGAAAATATAATAATACCCTTGCATTTATTTATGTTAATTGAAAGCATTGAATTTTGGAAATTGTACAGAGCAATTTTGTATAGGGGTTTTACCGACCCCTCACTGTAGGGGTCAGTCCCACATGAAAAAAAATACGCCGGGGCCTGCATTGTGCGTAATCTGGCAGTGGTCTGTACTTTCACGCTTGCTCTTTGATAGAAGATAGAATGAACACTTTTTCACCTTTACATATCTTTGTTTGAAGTGCTTTTAGGAAATGATTATACTTGTGGTCACTCAATAACCTGCTTGGGAAATTTTGGATTAATTGAGACTTTAGAGTTGAATGTATTAATGGCCAACTATATTCCAATTTTCTGTTGAATCAGTAGACAACTTTTGATATGCTTTTCATAATAAATGAGGGCTTTTGTTTAATGGGATTTGGGCATTTTTCTTTTTCCAACATGATCTTGATCTCAATAAATTGGGTTTTGACAAAGCTTCGAAATGTGGTGTCCAAAAATGTAGGATTTATAATGCTTACTTTATCAATAGTTGTTGTGAACACCATAGTGTAATCCGATGATATGTTGACAAAGATTTGTTGTTGTGGTTTTATATGCTCACCTCTCGACAGTTGTGATGATTTCTGGTATAAAATGGTGGTTGTGGCAATAACAAGACAGTTTAAGTTACAATTTTAAATAAAGTATACACACCTTATCATAATTTCATATCATCAATTACCAAAAACATGCGTGGTTATTGTTGCTGGGCATTTGTTTGTATTGGACAAAAGACATGCATATCGAAAAATTTTGTGCTTGTGCAATTTTGGGTCCCTCTTATGAAATTTAATTTTCATGGAATTTCAATGGATAACTTTATACATACGTGGTAATTTTTGGTGCAACCAATTCCTGCGACTTCAAAAGTTGATTTTCTATTGTACGTTATAAAGATGATTTGTTTTTTTATGATTTCATTTGGTTGAATATAAACTATCTCATGGTGGGATTTGGTTGCTTAATTTGATGGGATGCCTATGATGAATTAATAGTTATTTCTTTCATGTCATTGATTTCTTAAGTATTGTTGAGCTAAATGAGGTGTCTAAAATAGTGTCATTGATTGTTTTAAGTATTCTTCAAATAGTTGAAGTGTATGATATTGTGTCCTACGTACTGTGACCACTAAAATTGTTTCGTTGAAATCACTTGTACACATGTCCTTAACTGTCTCATATTAAGTCTCCATTTATGGTCACTCATTTTAATTTGTTTCCTATTTTTGAGAATAAGTACGCTAACTTGAATGGCTACAAATCCATAGGTCCTTTTGATTTTTTTCGTATCTTCTACTTCTATGTTAATAATGATCATCATAGTGTTGCTGACATTTCTCAACCCTCTTGCATGTGAATAATGTTAGGGGAACAATTATTGACGTGTGTTTCTAATTTCGGTGGTGTGCTCATCATCCGGACACATTGATAGCCATTCTATTCCAAGCCTCCCATTTGTATATACCAGGTGAGGATTATAACACTTTCTTTCATTTTAAAGTGGGTTAGACATATGGTATGTTTTTACATGTAACTTACATTACAACTTATGCTTGTATGGTGACATATGCATAAATACGATTGGCTATCTTTTCAGTTTCTAGCATGCATGTGTGCCTTCACACATCCTTCGTTTTTACTTCTCAAACATACTTCTATATGGCAGTACATGATATGTTGAACTTGCACCCCTTAGCACGCATACTAACTCCCAGTGAACTGTTGACCCAGACACTTGACCTTCTATTTTTCTCGACAGTTACCCTATCATCCCTGTTTAGACATCAACCATCGGTATTGATAGATCTCCACAGATAGTCTGTCGATACCGACGTTTGAACTCTGTACTTCTCGACAGTTCACTATTTCCATGCATGATGTCGCTTCATTAAACTGTTAGAAATTATAAAATATTGTTTATATTTATAATCTAATCCCATGGGTTTTGTCAATGCACATTGCAGGACAGATGGAGTTTGAATTCCTGATTCCGGAAGATGCACGGTTGCGAGTCCACATTTCCCAACGAAGCAACCTGGAGTACGTGAAGAACGTGATGGACCATTTTGACGAGCGGCAACGTGAGGACTTTTGCAACTCCTTCCTCAAGCATCTAGCTGAGATTTTAGACATTCAATTCTCTGCCCAGCTAATCCAGAAGCTAGTGTTCAGAAGCGTCCGCACTGAAAAAGGTCAATGAGCTTTGGTTCAATGTATAAAGCCACCTGATGAGATTCGGTCTACAAGAGTATGCTCTTGTGACAGGGTTAAGATGTTGTCTATTCCTGGAGGGTGATGATTTCAATCGATTGATTGAGATGAGGAGGTTGAAAGAGAGATACTTTAAGTCCAATGACAAGATTTCATTGGCACAACTACAGTACTGTTGCCCGACCGTCGACGATCCAAGCTGATCGCTACAAACTAGGGTTGGTTCTAATTGTCAAGGGAGTTTTCAATGCTCCACATAATAAGGTCGGTATCCATTTGCCGACATTATCCATTGTCGATGACTTGGACTTTTTTTTGCCTACCCTTGGGATAGAGTTGGATATAGGCGTTTGTTACACGGATTCGAGGTAGCTTCGCAAGAAAATTTCAAAAGGCCAAGAGGAGGAAGAATAAGGAGATTACTTACACGATTTACAGCTTTTCCATTGCCATGCAGGTACGCAAAGTTTGTAACATCATCCAAGCATGCATGATTTACCCCTCCGGCAGCATCGTACCTACAATCTTGCCAATTTGAATGTGTTTCTCTTGTTGCAACAGGTTTGGGCATACGAGGTAATTCAGGAGATTCGAAAATGCTTCGATCAGCGAGTCAGTGAACGAATGCCACAACTTCTTCGCTGGTCCTCATGAAAATAGCCACAGTGCCGTACATTGGATGCATTTTTCAAGAATGTACAGGTATAAATAGAACATGTGTTCATTTCCTTTTTAACGTATCGTGACAATCTCTTACATTCTCATGTGATTATCATAACCTTATATTTGCAGTTACATGTGTACGTTGCACTTCGCCCCACCCATGCATACGTCGAACAGCCCTATTTTTCCACTCTCGTGCCATATGACGATCCCCAGGTGCCCGTACTCGATGACATTATCAGGACTGTTCTTGCGCCGTAGTTTAATTCATTGCACATCGGTAGTGGAGTTGGTGGACAGTCGAGAAGGCAAGATTCGGACGACGGAGTGTCTAGTGGAGGAAATGGTGAGGATGAGACATCCGGAGATGATGACGGCGATGGAAAGTCAGGAAGTGATCGCGATGGCTACGATAGTGAAGATACTGGTAAGTCTTTCACACCTCCGACGGCATTGGTTTCTTCTCCAGTGCGAGGGGCTATGACACAGACACGACCAGTTGGAACATCTGGATCAAGCTTGACCAGAGGGGAAGTGGAGAAGCTGCTATTAGACCAAAGAATCCTCTTTGAAATGTGACTCCAAACCGTGAAGCTCGAAATTCAACAGCACGTGACGTCTGAATGTACAAGACTCCGAGAGTTCATTGCTGCCCTGGTGGCCCCACCACTCTAGGCGTAACGGGCGCCAATGTTGAGGCCTGTGTTTCAGGTAGTTTACCACAAAGTATGAATCTTACGTGTATAAACGTTTTGCTTATTGAACTTGACCATGGTCCAACCATGCCCAACGTACCTATTTTTCACATTTTGTTTCATGTTACAATTGGGAAGTAGACGTACATGGACGAGGCATGAAGCCATGCCCCGATGAGCATGACATGGCAGTAGACACAGGACGTTCACAGCTTCTAGGCATGTGGATTATTCACGAGCAAATCGAAACTTGTTATTCCCTAGACCTTGTATGATACTTGAGTTGGCAGATGTAATGTACTCTCACTATGTCACTGTTGTTTTCCACGGACGGAGCATACAGTGCACCATGCCCGAACGAGGAGGAGCTGCCTGTAGGAATTGAACATTTGCCAGGTATTGTGGGTAATTCATGCGCAAATCGAAACATGTTATTTCATGGACTTTGCATGTTGCGAAACTTGACATAACAAATTTACTCACACTATTTTACTGTTGTTTTCAACAGACGAACCTGACATTGCACCATGCCCGAACGATGATCACGAGCCGTTGCCCACTCCAATTGATGATCCGCAAGGTATTGCGTCCATTACGAGCACTTTTTACAATTTTATGTCATGACATTTGCTTTTTTTGCGAATTCGTGAAATAGCAACAACTTATTTTCATGATATGATTCTCGTATTGAATTAGATGGAGGATGAAACCAGCCGCTTATGGCCGTGCCTGATTTGAACTGTATGTGGTAGTTCACCAAATTTTTGCATTTTCTTTCGTAGTATGCTCTCTTATTATATGCGAACAAGTGACGTGGAATGCTATGCATTTACGTGTGTCTTGTATTAATTAGATGGAGCTGCCACGGAGCCCTCACATGTGGCTGAGGTTAGCGATACAGAGTTGGACGGTTGCAACGTGACGGATGGCGTAGGTAAGTTCATTGCATGCGTTACTAGTGCGTATGATACGTATGCTTAGTGGAAGGCATTTCGAGTAACTCACTTGGCCCATTCCATTTTTTCGTAAGTGTTGTCGCTGAGGTACCTATTCCCATCCCTGTACCAGAAGCATGAGGCAGAGTTACTATGACGAGACGGCGCTCTGCCCAGCTGCGACGTTCCGCTCCTGCTACGAGGACTCCATACACGAGGGGGAGGGGAAGAGAATAAAGAAGTAATTGTGAATGAAGTGTCGGGATGGCAGGACGATGGTGTTGTTTTTTGTTTTACCTTGTCATTGGAGGCATGGAGGTGGTGAACAATGTTGAGGAGAACAATTATTCACTTGTTTTTACGTTTTCGTTTAAAATTACGTTTGAATTACTCTTGGCGTGTGTGTTGATACTTTGACATGGGCTTAACATTTTGCGTTGTCCGTGTATTATGTCGTGTCCGTGTCTAATTTTGATGACATTTTGTTCTATTGCTACATGTCAGATAACTTAACCATGTGTTATATTACGTGAACCTTATGAACGTAGTTAACATGATAAGCGTTGTTTGTCACACTCATACATTAACTTGCTTGATAATTTTCCACTTGCAATGTTCAATCTCGTCCGTTCCCATCTATTGTACTTCCTCTTTCCTTTTTTTGGCTTTTCAAATACGTTATCTGCATTCTTCTAATACTGTATTATCGTTGCAGTTAGCTTTTTAAATATGATCTTTGCATTCTTCTAATTTTTAAAGATGTCCAACTTTTGATTTTATTTATATTTGATTTGTCATCAACATGCAATTAATTGTTTTCCTTAAGTGCTCTTCAGCTTCGAAGGATTTCTTCCCAACATTGTAATACTAACTGACAACATGTTTGCGGTACGATTGAGCTATTTGTAATGCTAATTTTGGTTTAAAGAAAAATGTTATCTATTATTTTAACACACGATGCACATTTCTCTTTGATTTTCCCCTAGGAAATGACATGTACACCTAAAAGTTCTGCAATTGCGGCAAATTTGATACTTCATTTATGCCATTTCATTGGAGGATGACAGCTTATCAAGGTAACCCATTTTATATTGAACACTCTTTCATACTGGATTTTCTGTATTAAACGTACTTGTACTATACTCAAAAAATCGAAAATGTCATTATAATGTTTACATTGTGAAAAAAACCTGACAACTTGTTGCAATCTAAATGTATGGCTTATTGTTGCAATATATATTCAGCGAACGCTTAGGATCACATACAATTCAAATATCATTTTTCATAATTTGTCAGTTATGACATATTTTTGCAACCCAACCCTTTAAGGCAAGTTAGGATCATATGCAATTCAAAGATAAGAACATCTTAGTATTTGTAATTTGCGGCATATTTCTACTACGTTAATGTACCATAAGCTCAGGATCACATGCAATTCAAAGATATGGTTCGTCATACTTATAATTTATGGCAAGTGTGGGCAGTCTAAGGGGTCCAACTGTGTCACATTAGGTAGCCGTCATTGTCACGTGTCATTTCCTATAAGAGTAGGATCACATGCAATTCAAAGATAATTTTGTTTCAAATTTATAATTGAGGGCATATTTTTTAACATAGGTTGTAGAGATATGAGCTCGTATAGGCGATGGTCGGGTACGCGAAATGAGGCTTTGGTGCACTTCCATGAGATGTGATGAACAGTGAGAAAGCGTGGAACATCTTGTACGGGCATATATTATGTCAACAATCCGCAGGGATGAATTGGTTATTTTTCTATTTTATGTAATATTATCGTCTAGTTCAAACGATGACATTGCATTTATTCAAAACTGTTAAGTTTATTTGAAATTTATGTACAACAACCCTCCGTTTACAATGAAGCCACTTGGCTCGCACTACTACGGCATACGTCTGGACGAATTAAAATTTCTTGTTTGTATTTGTAACGTGCATATGCCTTCGTAATACGAAAACATGGTTAACATGATAAGCCAATAAAAGTGCCCAAAGCATGACAACCGTGATACAAGTAGTTGACAACGGAGTTAATGTCTATTTTGTTTTTGTTTCATTCGTCATGTAACATGTGCGTGAAGATGATGCCCCATTATTGTGAGACACTACCATTACAATCATGGTACAACTACTATATTTTTTTTTATTACAACATTTGAGTTGCAGGAATTTAGATTTAGTGAATTGTGTAAAGAGAATAAAGAGTCTTAAAAGTCCTACTAATTATAGGGAAATGGGGGATAAGGGTACTCTAAATTTATTAAACTATCATACCAATTGCTTTTCAAATGTATAAGGAGATTGGACTTGGTGGTTGGGTAGATGATGACCATAATTACTTCCCCCATTCAAGTTGCTTCCCCCATTCAAGTTGCTTTTAAATACAATGTGAGTTCATTGTCATTCCTAGACAACTTAGTCGAATAGCATTGTGAGAATTTCTGCTTCTCACAAACACATTTTGTTTCATCAATAATTTACTACATCAACATAATGAGTTCGTCCACAGGAAGCACCGAACCGTTCAACATGGACGAGCCATTGTCGGTTCTCGGTTCTTCTCCGTTATTTTCAATCTACATTTCGTCAGACGATGAGGAAATTAACCCTCGTACGGGTAGGAGAGCCATTTTTCGTATTCCCTTTCCCAACTTGGAAGATGTTGGCAGTGATGGTGGGCAATCACAAAATGATGTGCTCGATGCGGTGTTAGCGATCGACACTGGATATGAGGGGCAGTTTGACGATGATGAGCTGGCGTATGTCCCATAGAACGAGGTCATTATCATCTCGTTTGACGAGTTAGATAAAGACAGCGGGGAAGAAAGTTCAGTAGTCGATGACGAGTGAAATGCTAGCCATGGAATGTAGTGAATAAGTAGTGTATAGTCCAGTCTTCTATAGGGATGAATTTGGTTAACATAGAACCAAAACGTCTG